GTCCGATCCTCACGAAATTGAAAATGGAGGTAGGGTTAGGGATTATGGCTCGATTCTCACGAAATTGAAAATGGAGGTAGAGTTAGGTTCAGAATAGAACCCTATTATTTTTATTTGCAAAATAATTAGGGGTTGAAATGGACCAAATTTTTTAGAGAGTTTAGGGCTGGGTAGAAGCCTACAAATTTGGTCAATCATTAGCGGGTAAAAAAGACCCTAACTTTTATGTAAGAAAATACGAAAATTTCCACAAAGCCGTGACTATTTTTAATCCCGGCCAATATACATTTGAAGGTCACTTCTGAGAATTACTCATTCAGTGGTGGAAGACCTTTGCAATATAATCGGTTTTTAGTAAGGATTTGAGTATTTCGGCTCGTTCTAAAAATGGTTCAAGTTTAGAAATTTTAGTAATATTGGTGAAATGACCCAAGGTCTCAAAGAGTCGGGTATTTATCAAACTCATACACACCTGCGCATATTTGTTTCACTCATATCACTTCTTGCCTTTTGTTTAATGCATACAAAAAATACTGGTTTTGTTTGGCAAATCTGTTTTTCTTGATGTTGTTGTTGTCTTTTTTCAAAGCTAAGGCTATTGCTAATCATTTATTTTAAAATAATTACCATATTTCTCTTAGCGAATTCATTTTTGTTAGTCATACATACACAATTAAAATTTCTGAAGCATAGCTAAGATTTTTGCTCATATTGAGATTTTTGTCATTAGTTACTCATTGATCGATTAGAAGAATGTTGGTAAACCTGAGACTGGGAGGAAGTATTTGAGGTATGTGTGTGACTTGCTTGTGAATCATGGTGTGGTTATGCTTATGCCATATTTGCCTTTTTTATTTTATTTTTTTGAAAATACGTAGGTATACAGATTTATTTAACCTATTATTCTTATACCCTTTGGAGTCGATCTAGCGATATATGGGAGTATCCGATTTGATCCAAACTTGGTATATCGTATTATTATTGTCAAACTTAGATCGAGTTCGGAGATGGGCAATGTCGGTCCACAAAATGTCAACATTTTCACAATTATCTTAAAGTTTTACTACATTCGTTGTACCGTAGATCGTGCCATGGATAAAATATGATTTTTTTTTCTCTAGAAAAACATTACTTTGACAGTGACTGACATATTTTATTTATTTATTATTAAATTAGAAAGATGAAATCGATAAATACTTCACTCAAATTGATTCATCATCCATTTGTGCTGTTGACGTCACACAGCTTCTCAACAGTTACTACGATTCCATTTGATCAAATCGGAATTCTTGCTGAGTCATCTTAGAAACTAAATTATTTTTTAATTCAATTATTTTACAACGTGAATCATTAGCAGAATAATGGCAATTATTAGACAGCAACATTTCTTAAATGATTTAATCGTTTTAGAGATTTGTGATAATTTCTCTTCACATTTTTCCGGGGTGATCTTATTGACATGGTCTTGGTCTTACATAGGTCCCTATTTGACTGAAATTCTATCATTTGTTATGATATTTAATCGAACAACCTGTCAGATTTAAGCCAGTCCAAAAAGCCTTTGATATACTCTCACCTTTAAATCTCACATTAAATGTCCTTGACTTAATTAAAAATGATCCCACTTTCGAACCAAATATAGCGACAATTTTTAATAAATTTACAATCATTGCATGACTGATTTCCAATAATATCTTGTTTTTATTAAGGCATGCATCCTCCTGACTTTATTTGTGGTTTAATAATTTATTTTGATATCGTTTGGTTACTGCTCTGAAAAAAAAAAAACACTCCCAATGTGGTATTTATTTCTAGCAGAAAAACTCGGGGGTTTTTATGACCACCATTGCACAATCAATTTACTGTTATGCACATTTATATACCCCAGGGAATGGTCGTCGCCAATATTAATAATAGTAATACAAATAAATGTGTGTCACTACTCAGTCTTATCGTTTTGTCCATTTCATTTTGAGGTCACCTCTAACCACGCAATATAATCAACCCCCTTTCAAACATCAAAGAAATGACACGAGACTTTATTTTTTTTATAAAATATACAACCCACACACCTTAGTTCATTATGTTTTTTCACCTGCAACCACCGTCACCCCACCCTCGGCAAAGAAAAACCAATTTCCCCACTCTTGCTTCTCCCCAACAACTCCAATTGTTGGATGGAGAGAATGAATGGGTCATCAATCGTTATAATTTTGACACTGCCACAAACAAATCCCATTGCATGTGTGACACCCTGTTTATGACGAGCTGCAATGCCACCTGGTCTTGTTGTTGTTGTCAGTCATTGAAGTACAGAACTCGCGGACATGAATAGTTTTGTCCGATGGTTGTTTTTAAGCTAACTCTTTCTCCCCGGTGTGATTGAGAGACACACTCGCAGCATTGTTTTTAAACTCTTGCTTCATTGTTACTCATGCTTGTGTGCATAGATGGGAGTTGTTAGTTAAACTTTATAAGAAAGAAGCATTAAAATGACTTAGGAAAGTAAATTTAATCTGAAAAAAGTCAATTATTTTGGTGAAAATAATTAAAAAAAAAAACCTTTATATGAGACATATTTCTATCTGAGGATGTGATGGAAAAAAGAACGACATCTATAGACTCAAACCGACTGCACTATAATATGAGAAAATTTCGCCGTTTTCGCTCCTTTAGATAGATTTCTTTTGAAACAATCCTGTATTATAGGGTAAATTTAAAATTATATTCCCAATTATTAAAAAATTGATGCCGATTATGTATAACAAAAATATCTCATATTATACAACTGTGTCGCATAGGAAAAATTTCAACTGGTACTTTTCCATCAATACTTAAGAAATATTTATAGCTTAAAAGAATGCCTTGAAATATTTGTGAGAAACCCCATAAAAATATATTACTAAACAAAATCGATACAGGAAAGAGGAAGATAACAATATCTAGAGAGAGAGAGAGAGAGAGAGAGAGAGAGAGAGAGGGAGAAAATCAAATTCTGCATAGGAATTTGTAGTTTTTACGATTCTTTCGAGTTGAAAATGAACTGGATCGGTTCACATTAAGTGTGTCCCCCATGTGATAGTTTATCCCTTTATTTTCGGTGTTTGAAGAGCTTGGTCACTATTTCCAACCAAATCAGCTGTAATTGGACATTTAGAATTATTAGTAGGCAAGTTCACCCCTCGAAAACACTATTTGCTATTACTCTATATATCCGCACCTACAGATTAATGTTGAAGGTATCAGACACATTTTCAACCAAATCTGTTTATAATTCAAAGTAAACCGTCCCAGCAGGAAATTTTCAATAAAGGCCTATTATTTAATATAACCCTCATTTTGTGGTACCTTCTGATATCTGGTGTTTTCAAAGAAGTAGTCTCAAAGTATTCTCAAATACCAACCAAAATCGGCTGTACTTAAACTCTTTGGGTTTTTACTCGATGCAAATTCCCCTTCCAAATTTGCCTAAATTTCGGTCAACCTTTTGATAGAACTACATATAGAGCCGTTTTTGTTTGTAATAAAAGCCCTAGACAAATTCGCAGCCGAAATGGTTGCAATTTGATATTTTAAAATATTAATGAGCGGAAAAATTTATTTTGGCTATGAATGCTTCTGTGTTACAAATGAATGAATTCCCATTTATTGAACCTTTAATTTTTGGGGTGAAATTTTGGGAATATCGGTGGTTAAAACTTATACATTCTTGCAGTTCTGGACAAAAACTTTTTTGAATTAATTAAAAAATGTCCCTTTATGATATCGAAACAATTTGCAAAACTAGAAGATTCTTGCAGGTAATTAAATAAAGCGTTAATTTAAAATATTTTAAAATTCAAGCCCACATATTTCGACAAAAATCTCCTTTCTTTTTTATTAATTTTGATCGATATTGTTCAATTTGTAATAATTTGTCCAGTATTTCTACAGTTTTTGACATTTGGCCTAATTCCCAAATTCTGGGTAGCTTAAGAAAACTAATTTCACAACAATTTAGGTAGGAATACATTCAGTCATCAGTTTTACTTAAAAATGCAATTGACGCAAATTACTGTAATTCTGCAGCAATTCAGTCTCTCCGTCTCTGGTTGAGATACTCATTCCAGCCTTCTCAACCACCTTACTCTCACACTGATCATTAATTATATTCCCCGCCATTCTCAAAACACTCAAGTAATATTCAAAAAAAACATTATGCCGAGTAAATCTAACTTGTTTGCCTGTTTTTTGGCGTTTATCTGTGTTTTTTTTTTCATTTTCGCCATGAAACAATAACAATAAAATACACAAAGCCAAAGAGTCATAGCAAAAGGAAAAAAATGTGACACAGAGACAGACAATAAAAAACCCACAAAACAGACGTACAGCACTTGCGAATGTACCTATATTAGCATGAAAAGAAACACAGTTCTCCTCCAATATAGAAATGATATCATCCACAGTGGCCAATGAAGAATGTGGGGAAGCTTGACACTTCTCTAAGAGGGAATTTGACCATTACACATCCGAGAGTCCGGTGTGATTATATGATTGGGGGAAAACCGACAATCACAGCCAAATGACAGCCAATTCGAGTTATACGGCAACTATGCGGCATTATTGACTGTCGTCTTCTGACACATTTGCCTGATTACTTAATTGAATACAGGCATACTATGTTAAGTTGCAACAACAACAACAAAAACAATAATTGTTCGCATTAGTTTTTTTTTTGCACTGTTCACAAAACTATGTTAGCACGAATGTGTGTATTTGACTTGACCCTTTACTAAAAACACGTCATTTCTTTGATGTTTGTTGTTTTTCGTTTCTATCTTTTTCGCCTATAGGTATTTTCGTTACGTTATGATTTAATGATTAAGCACTTTGTTTTCTAATTTCACCAAAAAGAACACGCTGTTGTCATATTTAGCACCTTTTTTCTCTTCTCCACGAAATAAAACTTAACGTTATGGTTATATTGTTTTGTCATTCACTTTGCGAACTTGGAAACTTACCTTGCTTGTGACAGTGTAGACCATGTTGATGCTTTTGTTGTTTTTTACTAAATGCTTGAGTCTTTTTTAATAAATTTCCAGAGGAGCCAACAGCAACCTTATCGCAGTGCTGATACTTTATCGAATGCCGCCACTAAAATTCAAGTCATATTAAAATACTTAAGTATGCGGTTAGCGCTATGACCAATACATGCAAATGGTTTTTTTTCGATGTTTCTTTTGCGCGGAGAATAACATAAGGGAGCACAAATTATATGGGGATAAGGAAAGAGAGAGAGAGAGAGAGAGAGCGCACATATGAGATACCATGTCATTGCATAGAAGAGAAGGCGTTGTTGATGACAACCGGAAATCAGAGTTGTATTTGGGCTTTCACTAAGAAAAAATACGTTACGAAATACATGCCTTTCTTTGATGGGGAAAGCAACACTGTTCCTTGCGTTTCAAATATTCCTCCCTTTTCGTGTTATAAATCCTATTGATTTCTTATCAGATTATCAGATACTAATAATTTATTATTTTGCTAATAAGGAAATGGAACAGCCCAAAAAGTTATTTAAAGAGGTCCATGTTGAAAAAATGGTTGGGGAAATCAAATAATAATTATTTTTACTTAGTTTACAGGCGCTGTCTTAGGCCACATAGCCTTCAGCTAAAGAGAAATTAAATTAACTAAAAAAATATTTAAAAAGATGGAATGTTCGCCAAAAGCAAAAAATGGGATAACATTTCAAAAACTTGTACAAAAATTGAAAATTTTCAATTTTGTTTTACCTTTTTCTATTTTTATCAAAATATAAAAGGTAATAATTGTTTCCAGCTATTTAAACATTAAGTTCGCTTTAAGATTGTTGATAGAATGATACTCTTGCGACATTGCACTACAGTACAAATGTAAAAGCTTAAAATTGTGAATATTTGCGATAGTGCCAATGTATCTACCATGATAGAAGAATACAGGTAGATGCATCAACGCGTGTCGAAACATATGTCGAAAATATATGTGGGAGCTATATAGAAATCTGAACCGATTTCAATATAATTTGACAAATAAATTTTCTGACCAAATTCCATCACCTATTCCAAATTTCATTGAAAATGGGAGTACATAGCGTGTTTGGTGCATCAAATACATGTCCATTACAAAGGTAATGATTATAAAAAGTTGTTTGTATTGTTGCATTCTCTGTGTGCCAGTTGCAGAATATTAACATTTATTAGGCCTACGCCACATATGTATATGAGGCATAAATATGCGCTTTTCATAAAAGGAAATCATAAATGTTTTTTCATTTTTTTATATTAATTCTTGCTGCTTATTCGATTTTTCAACCCTGTTTCTCTTTCACTCTCATAGTAATAATGGTAGTTGGGTATATCCATGCAAAAGGTCATGACTATGAAAACCCATATTTGTTTATAGATGCTCCCTCTATATGTCGATTGCTGTATAATCGTTTGGCAACAATTACCCTTCATAACAACTCTGCGCCATAGATGGCGCTAGTCTAAAAAGAATAACTTGGTGTTAAAAAGGGCCATTAAAAATAATCTTTTATATCATTTTTCTTTATTCAATATAACTTTTACTCTTTTCCTTTTATTTTATTTTTCTCCATAAGGAATTAACATACATACAATCAATTTCCAACAAAATCTTACACTTTTTTTTATAAATATTAAATAATTAAAACCTAATAAAAAATAGAACTTGCAAATAATACTAATGAGCATAGGTGTGACATGGTGCTGAGGCAGATGCTGCCGCCCCCACTAATCCCGAACTGCGACTTGACATTTGATCATAGGCATAGGGGGATATGTAGGAGGAGGATGAAGTTGTGGAGCCATTGTATTCATAAACAGATGAGTGGTGATGCGCATTAGTGTTTGCCGCCGCCGAAGATGATGGTACATGGTGATGATGAGAATGCAGGGATGAAGCTGTGGGTGATGTTGTTGTCCCCGAATCATAGTAATTGTGCATATTTCCATATTGATGGGGTATATTATGTGTGGCATTACTTCCCATCGATGTGAAATTGGCAAAATAGTTACCACTGCCAGGATAGTGTTGGTGATTAAGGGTATCGTAATTGTAAGACCCTGACGCTGTGGGGCTGGGTTCCGCATATTTCTCTTTAGATTTTTCAACTTTAGTTGGACGTATGGAGGAGCTGTAGTAACAAGTTTCATATGCATCATTGGCCGTTCGAGTCGCCGCCGTCGCAGTGTTGGGAATCTCGGAGTAGCTCGATGTGGAAGTGTCTGTTTCATTGATTTTACTGGGTTTAATTTCTGCCGTTGCGGAATCCATGATATGGGGAAAATGTTTCAACTCGGAGTAGTTTATAAATTCCGGTTCATTGTTGGTCACTTCGGCTGGATGATGGTTGGTAGTAGGTGGACGCATGGTGGAGCATTTTAATTCGGAATAATTGATATATTCAGCAGGTTCCGCGGTGGTGTGGTGTTCTGCAGAATGTTGGGTGGTGGTGGTCATGTGCTTCGCAGCATAGACATCATAGTCATAAGCCGAACTTTGATTATAGTTAATGGTTTCACAGTTGTTGTTGTAACACAAGGACGCCTCACTGGGGTAGCTGGCCGTCACAGCTGCTGCAGAGCCATGATGATGATGATGGTAGTGGTGATAATTTGCAGAGGATATTTTTGAATCCTCTTGTGGGGTGTTATAGTGGGCTCCATGCATGCCCATGTTCGGTGATGTTGCCATACAGGAATGTTGATCGGAATTTGATTTTGGAGACGAATTCACAGATGCACTGGCACTGAGAATGGGAGCTGCAGGGGTATGATAAATTGGATAATTGTAGGTTATGTGTTGATGATTGACGGTTAGCAGAGCTGTTGGCGGTGGTGGCTCACATTTCGGATTGACATTTTCAATGGCATTATAGACATTGTGACTGTGGGTGTAATTTTGATGGGGTCCCGAGGCGGCCAGACTTTCATAGTGATTCAGGGGCGTGGAGGTGTAGTTCAGTGTCGAGGGATTTGCCAAAGGGTCCAGGACACAGGTGCACTGGTTTCGGGTGGAACATTTGCTGCAGGCTAGAAAAAATGAAAAAAACAAATCGTTAATAACCCATTTTATTGAAAGAAAATATTCAAACTCACTGTTAAACTGATAGATCTCCAAGGCCGTGGTATGGGTAATGGGCGCCGTTGCAGCTGTCTTATTGGAACGTTTCAAAACCTTATTTAGAAAGCTGTTGTGGGCCTTCATTTGCCGGAGACTTGTGCTCAACCCCCCACTGCCACCCACCAAACCTGCCTTTTTGCCACCCCTTCCCCCTGCCCCGTTGCCATTACGTGGCACCGTTGATACTCTACCAAATGCCCTCTTCGAAACACTTGAATTTTTCGGTTCCGGCTTAGGATGATCATGCACACCCTTGGCTTGGAAAAATATCGCATTATTCGAATGCCTCCAAAAGTGCGTCACCGGATAGCCACAATGCCCCCGACAGGGTTTAATTTCCAAACGACCACCACGACATGTTTTATTCGGACAGGCTTTGCCTTCCTGCTTGCGTCGTGCCTTATCACAAATGGCTGGACGTAAATTGATTTTATTGCCATTCGGCAGGGTACAATTTTGGGAGCACACCAAGACCCCCAAACAGCTCTTCTTGAGAATATTCACATTGTGATTGTTGGTGTTGCGCATAGCCCAACCGGAGATGTGTTTCTTTGCCTCTTCATTGTTCAGGGGGTAGATCAGGCGAACATGGCCATCGGTCCATTCGCTGAACTCATCGAAGTCGGTGTCATTCACCTGCGGCACAACAGCATCGTTGATGTCCCAGTCCCGTTTCGATCTGTGGCCCATGTTCATCTGTTGCTGTTTGCGCGAATTGAAGCAGTAGGCATTTCTGGAAAAGAAGAATGATTTTTAAAAATTTTCTTAAGAAATTTTAACAGATTTTTAATTATATTTACAAATTTTTCAAAAAAGAAGAAGAAGATAATTAATGTTTTCCGAATTAAAAAAAAAATAATTTAGCCATTTTTTCAAAGAAAATGCACCAATTTTGAACAGAAAATGAAAATGGCAAAATTAGGATGCCTTTTTTTTAACAAAAATTTGATTTTTTTTGGAAGAGGTATCAGAACGGGTGAACCAATATTGCCCATCTCCGTTTTGGCCATTTCAAATGATATATACCCTCTTTAGCCATATACCCTCCTCTGCCTTATGGCAATATAGAGGGTATATATCGCTTGATGAGACCAAAACGTGGCACATCGAAATAAAGGTTTTAGAACCTAGGTATCTTTGGATCAAATTCGTTTCAGGACATTTGGAGTCGGTCTAGGCTAGTCCGTCTGCAAGCGCGTCCCACAGACCACTCTTTCGGATACACCCCCAGAACGGGTCAACATTTTGAATAACCATGAAGCTCATAAAATGCGAATTAATCATCCGATTACTTCCATACTCGGCACTTCTCAATATTTCTATCAAATCAATAACAGGTGTGAAGATGAAATATATCGAATCACTCCTTCTGCTTACTCCCCCACAACGGGTCAAAATTTTTGAATAATTGTAACTCTCGTAAAATGTGAAATAAGAACCCGATGGTCTTCAAATTTCGGAAAACATAATATTTGTACTAACACAAGATCTGGTATGAAGAACAGATAGAACGGACCACTCCTTCTGGTACTTCTCCCACAAAAGGGACAAAATTCTGAATAACCAAAACGTTCATATAAAGCGAATTAGGCGTCCGATTACATTCATACTCGACACTTCTCAATATTTCAATCAACCCAATATCAGGTGTGAAGATGGAATACATTGGGCCACATCTTCTGCTACCTCCCCCACAACGGGTTAAAAATGTTGTATAATTTCCCACATCCCAACATTTTTGAGAACACAAGACCATATGCGGACCTGGGATAGAACGGACCGCTCCTTCTGGTACCTCTCCCACAAAAGGGTCAAAATTCTGAATAACCCAAACGCTCATCAAATGCGAAATGAACATCCGATTCCTTTCAAACTCGGCGCATCTCAATAATTTCATCAGCACAATATGTGGTGTGATGATGGTATATATCAGCCCACTCCTTGTGGTACCTCCCCCACAGAGAGGTCAAAATTTTGAATAACCAAAACGCTCATAAAATGCGAAATAAGCTTTCAATACCCTTTAAATTCCGCAAATCCCAATATTTTTACCAAAACAAGGTCTGCTGTGAAGATGGTAAAAATCGGAAAACTCCTTCTGGTACCTCCCCCAGAACAGGACAAAATTTTTGAATAATTGTAACCCTCATATAATGCAAAAAAAAACAGTCGATTCTCTTCAAATTTCACACATGTCAACATTTTTGATAACACAAGATCATATGTGGAGCTGGGATAGAATGGACTGCTCCTTCTGGTACCTCTCCCACAGAGGGTTCAAAATTTTGAATAACCAAAACAATTATAAAATATGAAATACACTTTCATTACACTTCAAAATCCGGAAAACCCATTATTTTTATTACCGCAGGGTCTGTTGTGATGATGGGACATATAGGTCCATTCCCTCTGGTACCTCCCCCACAAAGAGGTAACAACTTTGAATAGCCAAATCGCTCATAAAGTGCGAAATAAGCTTCCGATACACTTCCAATTCCGCAAATCCCAATATTTTTTTACCAAAACAACATGTGATGTGAAGATGAGAGATATCGGCTCACCCCTTTGGGTACCTCCGCCACAATGAGGTCACAATTTTGAATAACTAAAACGCTCATAAAAAACGAAAAAGCTTCAGATTCTCCTAAAATGTCACACATCTCAATATTTTTAACTCTTCAAGATCTGGGTACATTCCTATATAAAATGTCGAACTTCGTTTCAAACATTCCTCACAATTTCCTCTTCAAAACAGAAACGGCAGATTATATTTTATTCTTTAAAAAAAAAACAGGTGTAATGGTACAGAATGTACCATGTTCCTTTCGCCTCCCTCTCCTCCTATAAAATTTTTTAATTATTTTATTTTAACAGCATGAGCATAAGCCATTGACTTTTGTATTTTGTTTTTTATTGCCAATGATAGCCTAAACGCCGTACGTCGAATTTTTATGGATCTTCATGTAAGACAAATGACTGAAACAAAGTGTGCCAAGCTTCAGGCCCCCACTTAAGCTGTGAAAAATGTAATATTTGAGTTATTCCAAAAAAAAAAAAAAAAACGTTTAGAAAAAATGAGCCATAAAAAATTTAAAATATTACCAAAAGGTCAAAACGTAGTAACCCCAACCTAACGCACCTGGTTACTGTAACACAAAACGAATTTTTATTTGATTAAACGACGATCTCACCATTAAAAGAAAGCTGGCGATCAAATTCTTTAGCATTCCAAAATAAGATTTTTTTCTTTTTTTTTAAATGTGAATAATTTTCAAGCCTATCTTCAATGAGGCCTGTCTTTTGTGTCTCGTGGTCATTCGATTCCTTATTAAGATATCGTTTCCTATTTAATTGAAACATTTGCACATTAATGTATTGTAAAACAATCTCGATGGAGATTTTTGTCACTTTCCTTAATTTGAGAAAGTGAAGAGAGTCATATTTCCATCAGGTGTCACTTGAGGAAGTTCTTCCGACATAATTGGTAGGGAAATTGATGATTTTCAAATGATAATTTCATTTCCTACAAAAACAACTGTTATCTGTCTATTGTCATCTTGTTATCACAGTGGGTGTCGCTATGAAGAAGATTGCATATAAAGACTTTTGAGAAAAGAGTTAATATGGGAGAGAAAAGAGTCTTCAGTGTCATGTCTGTCTTCATGACTTCATCAAAATAGGTTGTGGGAAACATTTTCTAAAAAATTGACTATTTTAGAAGTTATAAAAGAATTTTCCGACTTTCAACATAACAAGCTGAAAGGTATGAGTCGGGTTTGCCGACAGACTCATACCCTTAGCCCACGTCCGTTTATTAAAACATATTTTGACTTGATTGTCAAAAATGTGGATCCTTCATGGGGCTGAAGAAGTGGACCAGTATTTTCTAGTTTTTCCTAAGTTTGATAAATATTGCGACGCGTCAGGTTCGGACTAAATCCATTACTAACTCCACTTTGTATGACATATGGGTATACATTTTTGGAAAATATTGAACTTTTGTGGGGGAGGTACTAGAAGGAGTGGACCGACATATTCCATATTTAAATTACATCTAATGACAGTAATGAGATACATCAAGTTTGAAGAAAATCTGTGAATTGTTATGTGAATTATGAAGGTGAAAGTATTGCCTTGTTTGAAGTTAGGAGAAACATCAAATAACTATTTTGGATTCCATCAGACTTATAACACTGTCCGACAAAATTCACAAATTACAAAAAAAATCCCGGAGATTATGAAAGTAGAGTTTAACAGGTAAAAAAGCAGCTAAGTTAGAACTTTTAATACCTTCCACCATTTTAAAGAAATTTGAAATATTTTAACAAAAAACAAGTAAAAAAGCCGCTAAGTTCGGCCGGGCCGAACTTTTAATACTCTCCACCATTTCAAAGGAAATTGAAAAATTTCAAAAAAATTCCGAAAACTACCACTTAAATGAAAACCGTTATTTGGGGACTATACAAAGGCGCGGACCTGCGTACGAAATTGTGTTCATAGGCTGTAGTACCCATTAAGAACTTCAAATACGAAATTTGTTACAAAAATCATGTAAATAAGGAGTATCGGGATATACCATCATATGGAGGCTATGCGAAGATGTGGACCTGCACACAAATTTATAGTACCCATTAAGATATTTCAATACAAAATATAAAACGATTCCGGTGAATAATGTTGCTAAAATCGTCAAAATACGACTATCGGGAAGTGCCGTTATATGGGGACTAAACGAAGACGTGGACCAGCATATAAAAATTGTTGTCATAGGCTGTAGTACCCGTTACGAACTTCAATTACGAAATTCTAAATAATCCCGGTAAATAATGTCGCTAATATCATGAAAATGCCGAATATCGGGAGGCACCGTTATATGGTGGCTATACGAAGATCTGAACCTGCATACAAAACTTTTTGCCATAGGTTGTAGTACCCATTAGTACGTAATTTGAAACGATTCCGGTAAATAATGCTGCTAAAATCATAAAAATGTCGAATATCGGAAGCTATCATTATATGGGCGCTATACGAAGACGTGGAGCTGCATAGACAATTTTCAGTCTTAGGCTGTAGTACCTATTACGAACTTAAAATACCAAATTTGAAACAATTCCGGCGAATAAAGCCGCTAAAATCATCAAAATACCGAATATAGGGAGGTATCGAAAAATATATCTGTCGTCTATAAATGTATGTAGACGTTGACCTGCATTAAAATACGAAATATTGGGAGATACCGTTATATGAGGGCAATATGAAAACTTGGACCGACATGACTCATTTACGAACTTAACATGCTTAATGGCAAAATACACATGTGTGCAAAATGTTAGCCTTTTATCTCAATTCGTTCCAAAGATGGCGTGATTGCAAAAAATGTCGAAAATAACATCAAATTTTAGAATAAGTTTAGATTTGTTGGTCACCTTTGGCACGAATTATGGCCTTCAAATGGCCAATGAAACTGTCAGTCGCTGCCCGAATGCTATTCTGTGGTATTTTGGCCCACCTTCGGTTGGCCCACTCCCGGCGAAGCGCTTACTTGAAGTGATCGACACTTTGGTATTTTTTAGTGCCAACCTTGCTTTCCAAAAATACTCCAGACACAATAGTCCAACGGATTGGTATTCGGAGATTTTGGTGGCCATTGTGCGCTGAAAATGAAGCGCGGAGCCTCATTTTGTAACCATTTTTGGGTGGCGCGTGGTGAGTGCGATTCTGCTGAGTCCTGTT